TGGTTATTAACATATTGCCCTCTAATTTATCTAGGGCTCGAAGAGATAAGCTAAAGAGTGATACAAAATATTATGTATGGGACGATCCATACTAGTGGAAACATTGTATAGATCAAGTGATTAGAAGGCGTATTCCTGAAAATGAAATTATCTCCATTCTCACCTTATGTCACGCATATGCTTGTGAAGGACATTTTGGAGCAAAAAGGATAGCAAGAAAAGTGCTTGAATATGGCTTATATTGGCCATCCTTGTTTTGAGATGCCTATTCCTTTTGTAAGTCTTGCAAAAATTGTCAAAAAATAGGTAATATATCCCAAAGGACTGAAATGCCAGATACCGCCATAATTGTTTGTGAGATCTTTGATGTTTGGGGCATTAATTTCGTGGGACCATTTCATGTGTCTTTCGGCTTTGCTTATATTTTTCTTGCGGTAGATTATGTTTCGAAATGGGTGGAAGCCAAAGCCACCAGGACTGATGATTCTAAAGTTGTTGCAGATTTTATCAAGTCCAATATATTCTCCAGGTTTGGGATCCCGAGAGCTCTCATCAGCGATTGAGGCACTCATTTTTTTGTAATCGAAATGTGGAAGTTCTACTGAGAAAATACCATGTCACTCACAAGGCGTCAACTGCATATCATCCACAAACAAATGGATAGGTGGAGGTGTCAAAACGGGAAATCAAATCCATCATTGAGAAAACAGTCTGCCCAAATAGAATAGATTGGAGCTTGCGCTTAGATGAGGCTTTATGGGCATACAAGATTGCAGATAAAACAAACATCGGTATGTCACCTTACCGGTTAGTGTTTGGGAAACCATGTCGCATTCCAGTGGAGTTAGAACACAAAGCTTACTGGGACGTCAAGAGTTTCAACATAAAGATGGATGAGAGTGGAGAACACAGAAAGCTGCAACTTCAAGAGCTAGAGGAAATTTGCAATGATGCCTATAAGATTGCAAGGATTTACAAGGAGAAGACGAAGGCTTTCCATGACAAGATGATCTCTAGGAAGGAATTTGAAGTTGGTCAAAAGGTCTTCCTATACCAATCACGACTTCGTCTGTTTTCAGGTAAATTGTGTGCCCATTGGATTGGACCATTTGTTATTACTAATGTCTTTCCTCATGGTGCAGTATAAGTCCAAAGACTGGATACCTCTAAGGTATTCAAAGTGAATGGTCATAGGCTGAAACCTTTCTACGACGGTCTCAGATGGAGGAGGTGACAGTTTTATGTATGGGGGAGGGGTTTAGATATTTAGATTTAAGTTGCATTTAGATTGAGTGAGTTTAATTTTGCATGATTTTCAAGAAGATTAGTTGATGTTAAATGATTTTTTTTTTTTTTTGTTTATGCTATTTTAAAGAATTAATTAGGCTTTTGAAGAACGCATAACATGATTGAATGAATAATCCTCCAACTTAGAGTTAATTAGTTGAGTTATTTTCTTTGAGGATGTTAGTAACTAAATTTTGTAGACAAAAAGCTGGTGAGATTTTGAGCCTTTAGACGGACACATCCATAACAGTCTCATTTTTTTTCACGTGTGATATCCTTCCATAGTTTTGTTTCTCTAGAATTTGCCTTGATTCTCTTCAAGATCAAATTGACACATGCATACACGAACATTATTAATGCCATCTTTGTTACATAAATTAGCTACATTAGCCAAATAGCTTAACCTATAATTGAATTTTCCTTTGGTGAACCTCTTTGAGCCTTATTGCTTTTTCTTTTTGTAAACCCACGTTACAAACTTTAAACAGGAAAAAAAGGTCTTTACCCAAGCCTTAAGGCTAGTAGAGTATTGTTCAGTATCATGATATGTGTGGGTATGCAAGAAAATAAGTGTGGGGTGTCAAAATTTTTGGTAGTGCTATGATTGGTAGAAGGGAAAGTATTTCAATTCCAATTCATAAGTTCCATTACAGTGTAACATTTGGAGTTATTATTTAAAAAAAAAGAAATCAAAAAGAAAAAGTGAATGATAGAAGAAAAAGAAAAAGAAAATAAGTGATGGAGGAGAGTGATATCAATGTTACAAAATAACTATGTTCATAATTCCTCCTACATTTCAAGAAAAGATTCGGTTTGTGTGGGATAGACGCAAAGTAAAGGAACCATTGTGTGGAGTAGTTGGTTTTACATATCTTATGAATATATTTAAGCTAAGTTCATTCATCTTTGCTTCACTAGTTCGATGGCTCTTGAGTCACATATCCAAATATTTCTCACCTTGACCCTAAGCTACGTTACAACCTTTGAAAAGTCCTTATAATTCTTGTAAAGCATGTGATCTAAAAGGTCGCGAATGAGAAGATATGCAAGCATATGGTAGATCATCTCCCTTGGAATGAACTTGAGAGAAACACTTACCTTTTAAACACATAAGAGTTGAGTGTTTATATCCGTGAGGGTCTACATGTTTTCTTTATTCCATATTCGTATGAAAATGCTAGCTAATTGATTATGATTTGTGTGAGAATGTTTATTTATGATGTGTTGTGTGTTTTAAAGAGTTTAATTGTTCTATGTTCATGGTATTACGACCGGGGTGTTTTGGGAAACTAAAATTGAGTTTTGCCCGAGGACGAGTAAAAGCCAAGTATAAGGGAATTTGATAGGAATGCAAAATGCATATTTTTCCATCCTTATTTTGTGTGCTCGTATGATTAATTAGTGCGAAAATGTACTCATTGCATTTATATTTTGATTTAGGTGGTAATTCTATGGATATGGCATAATTTGGAAGAAATAAGCTAACAATGGCCAAAATAAAAGAAAATGAAGTTTGGGGACTGAAATGCAAATACTCAAAAGTTATGTGGAATCTCACGATAAAGATTTGAGGGTCAATCGGATAAAGAAAGAGGTCAAAGGGGTGAAGTACAATCAAAGTATTATCACATATAAACTCCTAGCTGAAAGGGTTATGCATTGGATTTTCAGCCTCAATTTGAGACTCATTTTTGACATGGAAAACGATCACTTTGGAAGATGACATCTGAAGCAAAGTTGTAGTCCTTTGAGCTAGTTTTCCAACGCATCTTAAATCAACTCAATCGAATATTGAGAGAGGAATATATGACCAAAATACTGAAGGCGGCTTAGTTATACCGCCCGACCCTAAACTTCATTGACATAAGCCAATATTTATGCCTGGGCAACCACCGAGGCCAAATTGGGAAAAATTTTGGTTTCCGAATTTAAGTCAACCACCTAGGGAAACAACTATAAATACATATTTTAAAACCCTAGAACAGAGAGAACGTCTTTCATCTTCATTTTTTATTATTTTGCTCTTAGAATCATGAATTGTAACTAAACTTTTATACTTGGTCTAAGGAAATTGAAGTATCGGAACCACATATTGTGAGATCTAAATAATTTTTCTTAACTTAATTCATGTTTTTGCATATTGAATATTCTTGTGCACTTATTTCCACGATTGTTATGTTTAATTGCTAGGAGGCCTACTAATTTGTTATTCGTTACAATCCATAGTTAAGTTAAATTTCAAATCCGTAATTTTTTTATTCCTTTAACTTGTGAAACACTAGGATTTGATGATTTTCTGTGATAGAGGTTATTGAATTTTAAGAAAAATGTTTCAATAGATTGAATGCAACCGCTGGTATTTGTGTTATCTAGTTCATCGATTTCTCTATTGTGGAAAGCTGCTATTTAATAATTAGAGTTAATTAGAACGTTGGTTTCTAACTAACTAAAATTAAGGAGAGATGGGAATTAATTCCAGCAGTGAATGTTCAAAATATGAATTGAATTATCCTTACATCTATGATCAATTGTAGATTTTTGACGGTGGATGTAGCTTAGACCAAGGTTAGTCTTTTGACAGTTTTCATTAATTTAATTTTTATTATTATTAATTGCGTTATTTACAATTATTTACATAACAAAACCCCTCAATCATTGTACGAAGCATAATACATTGAATTGTATACTCTTTGTGTGATCGATCCTTATTTCAACTACTACATTAGTTTTAGATGTTAAGGTATTACTTTTGGGTACCTGTGACAGTACACACCATATATTCATCATTTCAAAGCATTTTATTGAGAAATTGAATGAAAATTGATAGAAATAATGATTTGCGCAATCAAATGTGTAATTAAAGGGTGAAAAAAGAAAGAAAGATATGGACGTTTCTCACAATAACAGTAAAAGGTAAGGACATTATGTGCTAATTACCCTTTTAATAATTTATTTGGGATTTATTTGCATTTTTTTAAAAAAATTAGGACTATGGCTGGAATTAATTTTTTTATTTTTATTTTTATTTTATTTAAAGATAAGGGTATATTTGTCATTTCACAATTTTTAATTAAGAAAATGAATGAAAGGAACCTTTTGCTCAATAAAAGGTGAAAATGTTAAAAAACGAAAGGTAAGGACGCATTCCACAATAGTAGCGAAAGGTGTGGACGTTATGTGGTAATTACCATTTCATAAGTAATATTTTATGTTACATATTTCAAAATTCAGGTAATAATTGGTTATTTAATAAATATTAAACAAATATATTATTAATAACTCACACCAACCTACTCTACTCATTAAAAATTCTCGTTCTTGTCTTTTATATCTCCATTGGAAAACCAACACCATTCCATTTTCTCTATGTTTGACCGTTGGAAACCAAGCACTACAATCGTGAGCAATACCACGACACTTGGCTGCCCAACTCGCGATATGCATAGGACCACCTTACTCAGTGACCGCACAACGTGCAGACCACCGAATCCAAATCAATGATAGGCAACACGAGTACTCAGTCCTTTCTTATGCTTCTATCCAAGCTATAGAGGCATGCGAATAATGGCATGGTGTTTGCAGTGTTCGTAAAAAAAAAAATTTGACCGTTGTAGTTTTAGGGTTTAGATGTTGGGTGATTTGGTAAATTGAATTTAGAACTTAGATCCCGAAAATCAAGAGGTTTTGGAATTGTGACCTTCTAGGAGCAATCAATGAGAGATGTGATCGAGGGCAAGGACCTTGTTGGCCGTAACATCACTGTAAACGAAGCTCAATCCCATGACAGGGACGAAGTCGTTGGATTCGTGGCGATCATTGTGAAGAAGGTTATGAAGGTGGAGGCTATGGCTGTCGTGAGAGAGGTTATGGAGTTCATCTTTATTGAACTCTGCATTGTAATTTTACTTTGTTATCTGGTGGTTGTTTTGTAGTTGCAAATGGTGGTGGTGGTGGTGGTGGTGTCGGGTGGATTAGAGTGGAAATGGGATGGGATGTGATGAAAAGTGTTTGTGGCCAATTATTTGGTAATTGTAGTCAATAAATTAGTTAATTTGTAACCAATAAATAATATATGATCGATGAAATTTTTTAATTTGTGATTAACAAATAATATGTGATAAAAAAAATGTAAGATTGTGACAAAATTTGTAATTGCAGTTTGTTGAGTTGTGATAATTAATTTGAAAACTTGTGATCGATAAATAATTTATGACTAATTAATTTGATAACTTGTGACAGTGAAATAAGTTGTGATTTATAAAATTTGTAATTTGTGACCAAAAGGAAATATGTGACCTACTAATTTGATAATTTATGGTCGTGAAATAAGTTGTTAAAATCGTGATTTGCGACTAATAAATAAATTATGATTTATAAAATTTGTGAGTTGTGATTGTGACGTTTTATTACTATAACTATTACGTAAATATAACCACAAGTTGTATTGTAGTGTGACCTTGATATATTTAGAGGGTGTTTGGCACCCTTTTTTCATTTTCAAAATTTTCTTTTTCTTAATTATAACCACGCATTCTCCAAATAAAATAATATTACACACAAATCTAAAAAAATTCGTTACTTTTCAACCACACATTCTTCCCTTAATCATTATTTCAAAATTTAAATTTACCCAAAATTGGTGCCAAACACATACTTAATTAATAAAATATTTTTAATTATTTATTTAATTAATAAATTTTAATTTTGACATGACTTTTGAAACTTTAAAGGAACTTTTTTAATTTTGAAATTGTATCTTTTAACTACCTTAAATATATTCTTCCCTGTTAGAATGTAATCTTTCCATGTACAATTTGAGTCCTTGATTATTGCAATTTAGTTCCTTCAACTTCTAAACATGATTCTTTGGTCCCCAACTTGCAAAATATATCCAACTTTACTTCTTTTTCATCAATTATAGCTCATTTTCACATGTTCTCGTCCAATTTTGATTTTTCTCCTAAAATAATCGAGAAATACATAAGTCAAGTATTTCATTTATAAAATTGCTTCCAAAACTCACTTTTGAAAGTTAATGTTTACACTTACTAGAATTATGAGACTTGACTAAAAATTCTCACATGGAAAAGAATACAATAATAAGTTAAACAGAATTATCAATTAAGAATGATAAAGAAGACACTCCTCTCCATCTCGCAGCAGCAGTTGGATGGCTTAAGTATCTGCGAGTGCATAGCTTTAAAGGATCGTGAACTCATTAGCACTCGCAATTTAAATAGAATGATAAAGGAGACACTCCTCTCCATCTCGCAGCAGCAGTTGGATGGCTAAGTATCTGCGAGTGCATAGCTGTAAAGGATCGTATACTCATTAGCACTAGCAATTTAAAGGGCGAGACCCCATTGTTTGTGGCAGCTTATCATGGAAAGTTGGATTCTTTTCTTTCCCTTCATCATCTCTACAACCAAAAGCCAGTGCAAGAAACAGATCAGCAAAACAACGGACAAGAACGAGACGAATCACTTTGCAGAAGGGAAGATGGGAATACAATTTTACACTCGGCTATTTCTGGAGACTATTTCAGGAAGAAATATTGTTTACAACTTTGTTCACATTCAAACATGTATAGGCGGGTTTGGTATACTGGTTTATACAGAAGTGAATAAGAGTTGGGAAGACACATGCAACAAAGCTTGTAGCAGTTGTGTCCTATACAGTATATCAAACATGCCCATGTAATTGTCTAAATGAGAAAGGGGTAAAATTACATATATATTTTTTGCAACAGAATTGGCGTACCAGATAATCAGCTATTACCCAAAGCTGGTTAACTCTGTTAATGAGGACGGTGAATCTCCTCTCCATATTCTTGCCAGAAAGCCTAATGTGTTTAGAAGCAGCACTCATTTTAAACCCCTTGACTCAATCATTTACCGCTGTAAGTAATCTTTTAACTAACACAATATCATATGTCTTTAATAAGATTCTCATTATTATGACTAGCATCTTGACTAGCATCATCCTAATTAATTAAGTGATATTCATAGAGAATTCAAACTTCCTCTATGATATGTTTCATTCTGTTAAGTCATGCTAAGACAAATATGTCATTTTGGGTAAGGTGTATTCATCGACAAGCTTAAGAAGCAGCGTCGCCCCCATAAAAGTATTTACAGCCCCACAAATGGGGTCAACTGTCCAGAGAACTACAAGACATGTATTGACATCTTCCTACTTCTTGTCACTCCAATTTACAAGAGTATCAAAGGTAAACAGGATGAACCATATTTCCCAGTTTCTGTATTCTAACATTTTCTATTTTTAACGATGTTGCTTTTTTCTTTCCAGCTGCTTTTGAAAGATGCAGTCCGACCGACGAAGAGAATCCCCACAAAAGAGAGAATAACCCTCAAAGTACGTACGATTTTCTCGAGCAAGTTTCTAATTTATTTGGTTTTAACTAATAGTTAAGAACCATTCTATTTAGAACATAGACGCTTCAGACTGGGTAAAAATTGTATTACGTTTAAGGTTTAAATTAAGAAGATAAAAAATGATCACATAAAGTGGATTAAGAGAGAAGGAGAAATCTTTATTTGATTGATACATCAATTTGGCTGAGAACAGATTCCACAAAAAGGTTGTTAAACAGAATAGAAGTTAATCAATTACAATAATTTACAAATTCCAGTGCAAAATTTTTTATGCTCAATTTAATTTGCATTGATATTATTTTTGTAAAACTCAGCTACTAACCGAGTTCTAAGTTTTAGAACTTACATGAAATTCCAAGAAATGAGAGGTTGAATTGATTGCCTTTGTTGCTTGCTGAGTTCTCAATCAAGCAATCCTCTTTTGTTCAGAATTCAATTACAATGGAAAGAGTTTGATATCCATAATCCAAGAACTTACTTTTAGATAGTTTGGCAAAATCAAGTCAAAACTCTCATGTATTCTACCCACACTGCATTTACCCAAATTTTTTGCATTTTTCTCTTCATGTTTATGGAGTTGTGGGAGTTATTGTGGGTGGTGAGAGGTTAAATTTCTAATTTAAACCTAAACTCCTCCTTCCAAACAAATCCTCGTGCAATTCAGGTCAGGTCAACCCACATGAACAACCTATTTTATACCAACAATTTTCTTGCCCAATGGATGATGAAAGTGATATGATTTGCACTAATACAATTTTCTCGCCCAATAGCTAAGAATATATGAACTCCATTGATTTGATCTTCTCGCTAATCTTGCAACTTAGGAAAGTAAATTGATTGGAGACTTGTGGACTATATTAGACAACTAGTAATGATTAGATACGTCGGATACACTTAGTTGTTCTTTAGCCACTTTGTATCTAACAAAATGGTAGTACATGGGGATATTCTTTTTTGTTGGAATGATATAGTTAACAAGATAAACAATGCAAGCAGTGATAGAGGTACTGTCAACTTTGTTTCCTGCCCAGTCTGCATATGAGAGAACTTGTCAACAAGACATGGCCTCATTATAATTTAGGTTAGAAACCAAGTTGGGCCAAAGAAACTAGATAAATGAGGCAACACATATGGGCCATTCACAAGTGAATTGGGCCATGAGAAACCTTAATTAATTAAGTTAATTTCAATGGCCCAAGTTGCTTTCGGGTCAAGCCAATCACTATTGTGTTGATATAATTAATCGGTATTGCCCGAGATTTAATGGGTATTAAAACCCGACAAATCTCTACTTACACCCAATGAACCTGCAAGTAACCAACACCAAATTTATACTTGTCAAATCAAGGTAACCAAAAATTATTATAATCATAGACTTTACCTCCTTTTTTAGACTCAAAACACACATCATACATGCTTCATGTATTCATCAAGAGCTAAGGTTAAGATAACCAAAGTCGAAACATATATCTACTGTAATCAAAATTAAGAACATATAAAATATGCGATGAAAATACAACATAGGATAATACATAACTATGTTCAACATTAAAAGAACATTATGCTAACATCAAATTAATCAAGTAAAATGACCAACATATACAACCAATGCATAAATGATTGCCGAGAAAATGTCTCACCACAATTATCCTACCCCGTCATGTGGCACATACCTTGAAAACACATAGCTCTTCTCATCGCCAACCATGCTCACTAGACTGGTCACTTTTCGTGTCTAACTGGTAAACTACTATAGATCTTAAGTTCATGGGATGTTTCTCGTCACATCTCTCAACCTAAATGAATAACGGGTCTCCACCTAATAAAAGTGATGTGGGTGTCACTCTCTCGCTCCACCTAATCAGGATTCTAACAAATAAATAATTCCAAAAATTTAATCACATTACCTCTCATGATCCAAATATCACTCTCCACATCCTCCGCACATCATAAATGCACCCACATGCATCTGTACTTCACATTACCAATAAACACACTTACTGTTAATCTATGCCAACCACTATGCATGCAAACACATTACACAGTAATAAGATCAATCCCAACTTCATGTCAAACACATATCAATCATATTAAAATGTAACATAAAACAATACCAAGAATCAAGCAATCATTCATGTAAATGGAATTTCAAACATATGCAAATATAGTAATCAGATTCACTATTAATAAACCTCGCTTGGGTCATAACTAGACTCAATGGCAACATTCGCTTCACCTCTCACCATATATTTCCTCTTATTATTCTCTTTCTAATGATCTCTTATAAAATGTTCAATTTTACCACAGTTAAAACATCTTTTGTATTTTGCACTTGCCTTAGAGTTACATCTTCCATCATAACTTTAGAAAAACTTTTTGTTTACCAAATTGGAGAAAAACTTTTTACCATCACAATAACGTAAACCTAAAACTTTTCCCTACTTTCTAACCACACATTTTCCTAAAAGTCATTGTTCAAAACTTTGTTTGCTTAATTGATCCGAGCAAATACTCTTTGCGAAGACCAAATGGATGCACCAGAATTACATAGACAATTCTTGTCTACTAAGCCAACCAAACAATCTGAGGTTGGTGAGAAAGAAAACCATCATCCTTAATCTGACCCGAACCATCATGAGGATTTGAAGGAGACACCAGCAAGTATAATGAAAAAGGCCAAAATAAGAACCTCAATTAGTTTTAACAACTAGACATTCCAATGATAGGCTTTGTTTAATAGTATCATTCTGAAAATCCATGGGTTCAATTAGCATTCCAGGCAAAGATGAAGGAGAGAAAGACTGATCGAATAGCCAGGCACACGAGGAAGCTAGGACAATATATAACTTGGTGGAAGAAGAAACGAGACTTTCTTTCAAGTAGTTTGACAACTAAACAATGATTAGACAAAAATTAAAAAAGACAAGATTTTTATGATCCACAGGGTTCAAAAGACTAACAAGGCCTAGTAGACCACTCAAAATACTAATAAGGCACAACCAACCACATATTTTGCAACCTTCAATTGTCATATATGAGTAGCAATTGCTGCATATTACCAAAAATGAACCGTAGATTGAGAATTTGAGGAAAAAAGGCTGGAATCAAATTCAGCACCATTGAAAACCAAGGGAATCGGTCTGACCCGGTCAAGAATTAGAAAGTACAAGTTCAAACTGGCTGGTCAAAGTCATTGAACTAGTGTGGTAAAAAACTTTGGAGCCAACATGGTGCGATTGGGTAGATCTGACACGTGAAGCTGACGTCTCTGAGACGTGGTGGAGGCAGAATCCACATTTGGCACGTGAGAGCATTTGAAGACATATAGGAGCACTTGTGACAGAGGTGTGAGGTCTGTAGTCATGTGCAGGCACATATAAACGTGATATTATGTACAGAACACTCAGGTGGCACATGCAGGTACATAAAGATCAGATTGGAGAAAGTTTGGTGGCTTTGGACTCGGAATTCGATAAGAAATGACACAAGGGAACAAAAGTAAAATCAAACTACAAAATTATTCCCGGTAATAGTATATCATGGGTTTGGACAAGAATAGGGGTAGCTATGATAAGTGATTCACCCACAATCGAAGTGAACAATGACCACGAAAAATTTTTAATAGGATAAAGGCAAAAGTAGCAAAACGAAATTGTCGAATGACCTAAAAAGAAGAGAACTAAATGGCCTAATAAGCAGCTAAAGTAAAGATTGTTTAACTCAAGCCCAGAGGATCCGATGCCTTAGAATTATAGTTTTAAAAAAATTTGTTTAACTATTATAAAGTACAAGATCCTATTCATATGGTTACAAATAACTCTAAGCCTTTGTTTGAGATCCATTATAGGGAAAGAATGTATTTTAGAATAGTAAATTGATGGTGATTGTGTGGTTAAAAATTAAGGAAAAGTTTTAAATTTGCGTATAATATTATTTTATTGGAGAATGTGAATCTGAAGATGAATTTTGAAAAAAAATGATTTTTTAGAAAAGTGAGACTCAAACAACTCCTAAAATGAATAAAAGGAAGGATTATGTGATAACTATACAATCAACTATTAAGAAAAATAATCTCACACAACTGAAAAAAGTATCATGAAAAATAATCTTATAATATATTCATATCTTCAATAAGATTAACACTAAACTGTTCGTGGAATTAGAGCAAATCTTATCCATGCTTTATTGTGACAAGATAAGTCCTTGATTTGGAAGAAAAACTTTAACCCCTGAGAAAAGTTTAGAGACCAAGATGTTTAATGGAGAATAGATACGAGAGATCAAGAGGATCCATCATAAAAAAAAATTAAAAATCTTTGATTGATGAGATTTGATTAAGATGAGAAAGTTAGTTTAGTCGCTACATCGAGTCTCACACCTTGACACATAGAAGGCCACAAAATGAATTTTGTGATAAGTCAGATGGCCATTAGCTATATGATGTTTTATTCTATTCACATTTAAATCTTGTCCGTTATAGTGCTAGTACTTCTTGTTTTGCATGGTTTTCGAGGAAGAAAAACATAGTCATGCTTTAAAGTTCTAAAATGGAGTGTGTTGTTTATATATCAATTATCATGTATATGTCAAACCATTTGTCTCGTGAAGTTTCAAATATTACATTTTTTCAAGTAATGAACCACATAAATATCGTGTAGTATAAGAGGTTAGATGAACCACATATATATCATTTAAATATTATATTCATGAATGGTTTTACGGACTTTTAGTTGCAGTGAAACATGAAGATGAAGAGTCGGAAGATGATGAGTTCTTTCCTCCCAATTATGCAACATTTATTCAATTTCTTAAATTTTCGATGAAGGTCATCCTAACCGTCATAGGAGTTGGTAAATACTAATTTCTTTTCATTAATTTACTTCTTTTTTTTTTCCCCTCAAATTTGGGGTTTGATCCATCCTTTTATTTTAGTTACTGCAATGCACATTCATTAACCTTGCTGATGATTTTAGGGTTTTGGAGTATACGGAGAATTCAAGTAAAAAAGGAAAGACATTCACACGCAGTACAACTTATGAATGAAATGATTAAGTATGAGTCTAGTTATAAGTATCAAAATAATGGGCAAAAACCAGGAAACCTGGAAACCCAGTATTCAAGAAGAGTTCTGCCTCCATCTACTCCGCCTCAAACTGATGATCAGGAAGTTGTCCACCTGAACCCAGAAACCAATATCGGGAGAAGTTCGTCAACTGATCAACCACAAAACCAGAATAAGAAACAGAAAGATGAAAACAAAAGTCGATCAGGTAAATATTTTTTATTTGTAGCATCGTAATGCTATACGTAAGAAATTTTTTCATTTATTAGTTAGGAATTTGCGAACAATTTTGCGGGATCAATTGGAACAGTGAAAATCGATACTCAAGTCTTAGTTAGAAGAGAGACTCCAATTCTCGTAGCAGCGAAGATGGGAATTCTCGAAATGGTACAGAAAATCCTGGACACATTTCCAGTAGCAATTCAAGACCTGGACTCTAGCTGTAAGAATGCGTTGATGTTGGCTGCTGAAAATAGGCAACCCACTATTTTTAATTATTTGGTGGAGAAGAAGCTCCCAGAATTCGTTTTTCACCAATTCGATGATCAAGGAAACGGCATTCTGCACCTTGCTGCAATGTTGGGAGAACTCCAACCATGGCTTATTCCTGGTGCTGCTTTGCAGATGCAATGGGAGATCAAATGGTACAAGGTATAGTGCATACATATCTCAAACTACTTTATCTACAATATTTTTTAGAGAGAGAACTCATTTACAATTTAATTTAAGTCCTCAATTGACTCTCAAGTGTAGGCCTGATTCATTTTTCTCATCAAAGCTACAGTATGTGTGTTAGCAAATAATGGAACGAGAAATTAACTGGCAATATAAAAATAGATCAAACAAGAATACAAAATGTACATGATAAAAATATACCTTGGGCATATTTATAGTACAAAGAAGAGCCTAAGATGTGGTGAAACTTAACTATAATAAGTTTATATAATAATGGAGTGCTTGGATAAAATAGGATTAAAAAATCTGCCTAAAATCGCGAACTGTTTCAACCTGAATAAGATTGTCGATCAAGAGGCGGTCTCACGGCTATCAAGCGGTGGCCTGTTGTGGGAGTTAGCAAGCGCTCACGCTCCTGTTTTGAGCTCTCGAGCGGCTGCTGAGCGTGTAGCGAACACTAATGCTTTTTTTCTTTTCCTTACATGATTTCTTGGTCTCCTATTGCAATTTTGACTCCTTCAAGTCTTCTTCAAGTTCAAACAAATCATAAACTCCCAAATTGAATTCCAACTAGAATTCACAAATAGACTTTATCTTGGACTCCAACTCAACTTCAAATAAAAATTCCGTATAGTATTTCAAATAGAATTCAGGTCACACACTAATTCTAACAAAGCAATTTTTTATTTTTTATTTTTTTATAAATGGTTGGCTGCAAGAATTGTAGTGAAGACCTCTATATCAATATGCTTTCAGTCAGTTTTGCTATCATGTTGAACTACTTCATCTAAAACCATTTAAATAGTACACGTGTCCTGCGTTTGACATCTTTAAGCTTTTACATAAGCTAACCAATAGAAATAGAAATGAATACTAATCAATATTTCGAATAGAAATGAATACTAACCAATATTTCGAACATGATGCAGCATGTTAAGCACTCGGTTCCACCACTAAGCTTTGCTTACAACAATAATAGGGGAGAGACCCCAAGGAAGATCTTCATACAGACACATCAAAAGCTGGTCAAAGAAGGCAATACTTGGCTTATCAAAACATCGGAGTCATGTTCTGTAATTGCTGCACTCATTGCCACTGTTGCATTTGCTACCTCAGCCACAGTGCCTGGTGGATTAAAAGAGGATACTGGGCATCCAGTTCTGGAAAACAAAACAGCAATTGATGTGTTTTCCGTCACATCCCTAGTTGCTCTCACCCTCTCTGTCACAGCTCTTGTGTTTTTTCTTTCCATTATTACTTCGAGATGGCAGGAACGTGATTTCAAATTAAAGTTGCCAAGGAAGCTTTTGCTGGGCTTAAGTTCTCTCTTTGCATCCATCGTTGCTATGTTGATCTCATTCTGTGCAGGGCATACCTTTATTCTCAGAGAGAAATTGAGATATGCAGCAGTTCCAATATATGGTGTTGCTTTTATACCAGTGGCATTTTTTGCTCTCGTGCAGCTGCAACTATGTTACGATCTTCTATGGTCTACAATCATAAAGGTTCCACTTCGAAGTTACAAGGCATTCCTTGATTAGGTTTCCAGCTAATTCCCTTGTATCGCGAAGATCACTTGGTTAAATTTTTGCATATTGAAAAATTACTTATTTAGAGGTTCAACTTGGAATGTAGCATTGTTATACAAAGAAGTCACAATACTAGATTAAATAATTTCAAGAAGCCTACCAATCTCTAAGAATAAGTGATAGAGCTAGAAAATGAAGAAGGGAAAGAATGTACACAGCAATTGTCTACAGGGTTCAGCAATTGCCTACATTCTTAAGTTATTGAGCTCTCTTGTACTATGAATCAAGATTGTTTACAATCTAAAATTACGAAAGCATGCTCATCTATCATCTATGTAGGATAGAAAAACACAGAAATTTTTAAATAAACAGAGAATTGGTATATACTTGAATGAACATTTTGTTCTGTTGTGTTCTCTCTCAACTTACAGACTTTGTCTATAGCACTTTTAGTTAGCTTCTTTACTTGAGAGTGATCTAAATGAGTGTGCATCCATCCAGTTAGTTGAGGGCCGGTTACTAAATCATATTACTTATGTAAAATAATGTACTACTTTCAATTGAACTGAAGTTAAAGTGTTCAACATTTGAATTTCCTTTTTGTTCTAACAAGGGAATAACAATATTTAACCATCATCAAGCAAAGTAAATGAAAAACAAATGGGAATTCTCAGTAGCACTTATATACCCATAAAGAAAATTCTCTTAGTATGGAGAGGAAAAAGTAGAAATTCTCATTTATCTTGCAATATTTTTAAGTATTTGAGGAAGTTTAATCATAATCACATGCTAAATTTGCCATTTTAATTAGTTTCTCGGTTAAAGTACAAGAGCAGCATCCTCCTCAGTTCTTTTTCTCAGGATGTAAAAGAGAAGAACCTAATTCTTGCTTCATTGTTAAAGTGGCATTCTATTTAGAATGTAATGATTACTATATATTAATAAGAAAATAATTATTTTCTGTTGAGAACTTCAGCAAAAGCATAGAAATAATGAGGATACCAATGGAAGACATCCTTGCGCAATCTTAACCCCGTGTTGGGAGCACTATTTTACCCAAAAAAAAAAGAAGTTCGATATTTTGCACTGTCAAGTGGATCCCCTTTTTATTTTTTAATGCAATGTCAAACGTACCACAAGTCAAATCACTTTTTGGGTTTTTCTCTTAGTGCCTATTTTACTCTTTTATAATAAATGTAACAATTGATTCATACACTTTTTTGACTGATTCAAATGATAATAATGACGATTTACGTGAATTTAATGAATTCAGCCACCTTTTTTGACTGTGATTTTCGGGATCTGTATAGAAATTGTGGAATAAAAATTTTAACACGCACAATGGTTTCTATCAAAATCTAATAAAATCCAAAGATAAAATCGATACCAGACAGGGGCTTAAATGTTGAAGAGTCTACACACAATCTTTATTTAATATAAACTGTGCTATAGCAATAAATAGCTTCAAATATGACAGAATTCCTAATCAAAGAAGTGTTTTATGTAGACTATCTATTTGAAATCACCATGAACAAGTAGTGGAATAAAGTTCAAAAGGCCTATGAGAAAAGTTCCTCGGCTCATAGTGCAAAGCTTACTAAATAAGGAGACAGCTTTACATGTGTTAGTCTCTAATTACAATTCTGCATGAGTTAGCTCTTGTAATGCAGTGCAAATTGAGGAAATGGTCTAGTGCATTCCCGAAGAAGATTCATTCAACATACTATCATTGAAGAATGAGAAAGGTAACACTCTTCTCCATCTCGTGGCAACAATTGGATGGGTAACCCATCTGCAAGTGCACAGCCTTAAGGAATCGTGAACTCATTAGCACCTTCAATTCAAAAGGTCTGTCAACAAAAGCAATTAAGGGTATTTTCTTTCCACAATTAGTACACACACACACACATACAGATGTAATTCCATTTTCAAGATATGGTGTAATTGTACATACCATAGATAGTCTCAAAAGTAGTTGTGTTGATTTGTATTCTAATTTTCTAGTTAATCGAACAAATCCTCACAATGAGCACATTCAGTCAAAAGCTGTTATACTATGAGAGCTTACCTGGGGAATCTATAACTGAATCCTTCGATTTTGTCTCTGCTTTCTATGTTGTTGGCCTTCGGTTCTTGGATTCCTCCCATCACTTGGTGGTTCTTGATTTATGGAAAAACATCCACTTATCAAATGCAAAATGGGTATATGTGTGTGTGAGGAATCAAGCGTAACCCCATACATTTACAAGTTAGTCCAATTCCCAACCCTCTGTAGTCAATTATCTCATTTCTACGCTCGTAGGATTCAGACACCCTCAAACGTGTTTCTTTCGTTCTCTCCCCAAGGTGTAGTTCTAAAGTTTAGTTTCTTTGATCATTTCCTTACACTACTCAAATTTGGTTTAGTTTAACCAGTAACGTCATAAATTCATTTATGTGATGATTCTCCTAATTATAAGTGTTTAACAATCAAGTTTATACAAGTGATTCAAACCCACAGTTATCTAGTTTCCTAACAATAAGTTCTTACTTGAACACTTAGATATAGTTTTTCTCTTTTTAATGTTTTATTTTGAGGCCGTATTGACCTCACCATTTTCCTATTCTTGATCCCTGTAATGAGTTTTTAATCAGTAACTCCCTGACTTTTGAATATCGAAAGGTATCAAATTTCAAGATACCCATACGGACTTACTAACTCGAGTAAAAAATGTGTCGACGTGAGGCATAAGCTCAATAAATGTAATTCTTATTTTCTATAAAAGAAAAACAAAATTTATAGGGGTGGTTAGATTCCTAACATTTGGTCACCACCAACCTTATACTAAAAAGTCAAAGACACTTCACACTCATCTTTTTCGTATGCATGGAATCATAAAAATCTTAAGTCATTTCTTTTACCTACTAGACCACCCCAAATTATTACATATACGGTTAAAGGATTTTGTGAATCAAGGGTTAATGGATTAAGCACTTAAGTCATATATCCAGCCTATACATATGAATCTTCATGTTCGTGTACGACGCTATACTCAATTATCGTGCATAAATATAATCAGTTCACATAGATAAGGAAAAAATTAAACTCAAGCACATCATTCAGCCACAATCCATAAATTAATACATGCTTTCAAATATATTAATCCTACCAGACAAGGCTATCTAACTCATACAAGTATGTGATAATTTTTTTAAATACAATTCATGTGAAATAAAATCATATCACACAAACACAAAATACTAAATAAATGACAATAGCAATTAACAACTGATGATTCACCCCCAAACTTATAAAATTCATTGTCCCAAATGTTAAAATTTACAAAGGGGGGTTAGGACATTTCTGAATAGATCAATTATTGTATCGTCATCACCTTGGTGAGCTGGATATGGGTTGACTTTCTAACCACATTGTTGCCCACAAACTTGAGAATCTTTCTACAAACAACACAACGAGAATATTACAACAATAAAAACTAAGTAATAAGAAAGGGATAGAGTTGGGATTGCCTCCCAACAATTGCGTCTTTAAAGTCATTAACTTAACTTTTTGCCATGATTGATTATGGTGGCTGGAACCAAGTTATTTTATCCATGCATTTTGTACAATTTTCATTAATGCATCATTTCTTTGCTCTCCAAATTTTGATATTTCACTCGCATCTCTATCAAGAAGTCCACCAAAATTTGATTTTCTTTTTTGATAGTTTCGTTGATCAGGTGGCTCTTCTTCATCAATTCTATAGCAAACTTTGATGTTGGGAAGTTGCTCATATTGGGTGTAAATATTGAATATCTCTTGCTTGTCCTCCACCCTCAGTATTAACTTACAATTCTCCATGTCAATTAGAGTTCGACAAGTTGCTAAGAATGGTCGACCCAATATAATTGGAATGTCTCGATCTTCTAGTATATCCAACACAAAAAAGTCCACAAGAAATATTAAATTTCCTGCTTTTATGAGTATATCTTCAACTTTGACACATGGCTTTGAAATTGTTCTATCGACTAGTTTTGATGTTATTAATTTTGATTTGATTTGACTTTATCCAATCTCAATTTCCTGTAAACAAAATATAACATTATTTGTATATTAGTACCTATGTCACACAATATATTAATATAACAAGAATTTCCTATTGAAATTGGTAAACTAAAACTCCTCTTATCTTTCAGCTTGTGAGTCAATTTGTTTTGTACTCTTGCACACTTTCCTCCGTAAATGCCCCAATTTCAAACTTTGAAAGCTTTCTTTTCTTTGTTAACGTCTCTTTCAAAAACTTTTTGTAGCTTGGAATTTATAATATTACATCAATCAACGAAATATTGATCTGGAGCTTCTTGAGAACATCAAGAATTTTTTCAAATTTTATATCTTGTTTGTTCTTCTCGAGCATTTGAGAAAAAGGAACAAGAGGCACGTAAGCCTTGACTGGACTTGGTGTCTTGGTAGTAGATACTTCTGTACTTTTTTCATTCTCAATTGAGGATGGTGAATATTTTTCTTCCATTGTAGCTTCATCAACATCTTCCTGGTCATCTTTTCTTTTTGGTCTTTTCATAGTAATCTCAGGTAATTGTACTCCATTCTTCATAGTTATAGCATGAATATTTTTCTCCATCGACTTCTTTCGAAGTCTTCGAAAAGATGGAAGTGAATGTACATATGCTTTAACTTTTACAGGAACCCTAGGTGGATCGTTTTCTACTACTCTTATTGCTATCACCTGGTTCGTACAATTTGTCATTGTAATGCTTGGCAATGATCCATGTGAATGTTCTGTAAGTTGTTGAGCTATCTCACCAATCCATGTCTCCAACATGCTTGCTGATTTTCTAAATTAGTATTAATATATTAGAATATATTAGTATTACTTTGTCTATTTTTTGTACATATTGATGAAACATCTCCCCTAAACTTAGTTTTCTTTCTTGCTGGAAATAATTTTCATATGTGTTGAAATTGCAGGAACTATTCTGAATAAAGTTTTTTTTGTTTCACTGAAGAAGAA